GTTCCGAGGACTTCCGAGGACTTCCGGAAAAAAGACTGGTCAGCTGTTGCCAGTGGGACACGGCTTAGGACTTCCGAGGACTTCCGAGAAAATCCGAGGACTTCCGAGAACTTCCGATGACTTCCCGAGAGGACACGGCTCAGCTGTTGCAAGGGACACGGCTTGGGACTTGCGAGGACTTCCGAGGAGTTCCGAGGACTTCCGAGGCGCGAGGAGAGGGGTCAGCTTGCCAAGGACACGGCTTAGGACTTTGGAGGACTCCCGAGGAGTTCCGAGAGCTGTTGCGAGGGACATGGCTTGGGACTTGCGAGGACTTCCGAGAACTTCCCGAGGACATGCTCTGGTGTTCTGACTGACACGGCTTAGGACTTGCTAGGACTTCCGAGGACTTTTGAGGAGTTCCGAGGACTTGTCGAGAGGACACCGGTCAGCTGCTGCTGCCAAGGACACGGCTTGGGACTTGCGACGACTTCCGAGAACCTCCGAGGAGTTTCGAGTCAAAGCCAGGCGGGGGAAGGGGAAACAGACTGAACCTTACCATGGACTGAAACGAGGGCGGTCAGGTCCCGCACCAAACGTGGATATGGTTCGGTCATCAACAACTTCAATGGGCGACACGGCTCAGTCTACGGAGGTCTAATTATCGGAGCCGGCCCAATCCAGAAACGATATGGTCGAGTGTAAAAAAAAGGCTTCATTCTGGGATCCGGCTCGGTCCATAAGTGTAACAGACTGAACCGTATCGAAGAATCAGGGCACTTATGGACCGAGCCGGGTCCTAGAATGAAGCCTTTTTACACTCGACCATATCGTTTCTGGATTGGGCCGGTTCCGATAATTGGACCTTCATAGACTGAGCCGTGTCGCCCATTGAAGTTGTTCATGACCGAACCATATCCACGTTTGGTGCAGAACCTGACGGACCTCGTATCAGCCAATGATAAGCATTCCACGGCGTTTTCAACTTATACACCCTAAGCCCTCAACCGCTCTAAGCCCTAAGCCCTAAGCCCTAAACCCTAAACCCTCCTGGACATTGCGATGCCCGCCAAGACGGGAAGGCCGGCGCCCCCGTTGCAAAGGTTCACATCGGCCCGCGCCTCGGACATTTTACAAGGCCTCCTCTAAAGGGTTTAGGGTTTAGGGTTTGGGGTTTAGGGTTTAGGGTTTAGGGTCTAGGGTCTACTGGATCCAGGAAAATAGATAGTAAAGGGTTCTAGAAAAGGTACATGAAAATTCTATGGGGGGGTGTTTTTTAAGTTCCATATGGGTCCTTCAAGGGTTCTATGGGGTCCTGTCAGGGCTCTACAGGATTGACTTCATGCTTCTAAAGAGGACCCGGGTCCTTCCCTTCAGGGTTCCTTTAAGGGTCCTATAGGGCTTAAGTATCGTGTACAGGTTCCCCAGAGCGTACCTGTTCTGTAAGATTCTATGATGTAGCGCTTAAGGGGTTTAGGGTTTAGGGTGTTTAAGAATTCTATAATACGGGTTCCATATCTTTTTGACTATTCGGGGCTAGCATTGCTGAAAGTCGTGTTTCAAACAAAACAAATCTTACCCCAAGGCTCTTAGTGCTGTTATGGGCTTTCTAGGGGAGGGTTTGGGCTTTGGGGGCTAAGGTTTGGGCTTTCACTATGGGGGTCCATGAGCCTTAGGGTAGTCAGTCCCATGATCCTCTCAGAATTGGTGCTCTCAGATCTTGGTTCGGGATTCGGCGACCAAGGGAGGGAGAGAGGAAGGGTCCACTCAAGGGTTACTCGGCGACTCGGCGCACAAGGAAGTTGAATGATGTGCGATCGCACGGGGCTTTGGATGGCTCTGCTTGCCTCCGCCCCTGCCTGAACATTGACAGTTCAGTGTGCGATATACTGAATGAAAGTTAGCAATCCAAGCTATTCTATGTGCGCAATCGAAACCCAAACCCCAACCGTTAGCCCCAAACTGGCTAGTGAGTTCAGGACCGCCAAAAGTAGTGACTTAAGAAGATGTCAACCCGAAAACCCTGAATCCAAGACCCTATAACCGTCCCAACATCATAACCTCCCAAAACATTGAACCTTAGTTCCAACTCAAGCAAACCAGAAGAAAAACACCAACCTTAAACGTTCACCTCCACCGCAATCCCCCCGAAACCACGCGCTACACGCGCAACAAATGCCTGCCTCCACCAGCTTGGCCAAAGCCTCCATGGGGGCTCCGAAGCAGGCGGCGGAAGTCAACGGTGAAATCCAAAGCGGGGCCACGCGCATGTTCACCTGAGCTGTTTAGGTTGGCCAGGAGTAGAAATATTAACACAAGTGAAGTTTAGTATTCTGCTTCGGTCTTTGAGCTTTTGCATTTTGGGAATGTTCGAGGGGTTATGGATTCTGCACGACACCCTAAACCCAAAACCCCAAGCCCTAAACCCTTTTTTTACAACTGGAAACCCTAAACCCTATACCCCAAAACCCAAAGCCCTAAACCTCTAGAACAGGTTAGCATGCAAAAAAAGGGAGAGACATTGGGCTTCGGGCCGATCGTTGAGAGTGTACCCACATGCAGCTCTTAAAGCTTCGGTCAGCAACACTAGGGCACTAGGGTTTAGGGTTTAGGGCTTAGTAAGCGGGTTATAAGTAGAGCTGTAAGTACATTTTATTATAGTCACCCCGATGATAACCCTACTTACCGGCTTGCTAAATCCCCTGGGCCTCCAAGTATAGCAGCAGCAGCACCGAGAATTACCATGATAGGAGCATGCATACAAGAAGCAAAAACCCAAGGTGGGCAGGGAACAGCGAAGCGGCAATAACCGGCACAGCGTGACACTCTAGCACTTCCCAGGAGAGTTGTTGGGACCAGGTGAGAAGTGCAAATTTAACTTTTGGTGCTCTTCCGAGAGAGGTCATAGCAACACATTGCAAAACCTTTACCGATTTTTTATCGTCGACTGGCATCGGCACGATGCTCGATTAGCAGATCCACTCCTTCCGCGCTGGAGATGTACGACCTCAGACAGCGAAAGTGGTTCAAGTGCTTACGGTCTCCGGCCCGTTGACTGCAATGGGTAGTGGATTCGAAGCTTTGCAGAAATTTACGGCAAGGTTGCGGCATGCACAGGCTTGCTGCTGTAGGGTCTCAGGGCTCGATTAGGCTAGAGCTGCAGGCTTCAGCAGCGCAAGGTTCATCGATGATCTTTCTGACAGGCCGGTGGGCTCAGATAGGCTTGGCCTCGGAGCACCGGAAAGCAAATCGTAAATCGCGAGAGCCAAGCCTCAAAGTCCTTAAAGCCCAAATCGTAGAAAGCCCAAGACCCGTGAGAGCTCTGTCCGCTTGAAGAACAATGCCTGAATCTAAACCCTGAGCCTTAAACCCTAAACCCTCAGCCCTAAGCCCTAAACCCGAAGCCCCAAGCCCTAAACCCTACCTTAACCTCAAGTAGCTTACCTAAGGACTTAAATAAAGAAATCATAATATGGAACCCTAAAAAGCTAGGTTCTTGAGGGTCCAGGTAGGCCCTAAACCCTGGAAACCCTGGGTTTCGGGTTTAGGGCCTAAACCCTAAACCCTAAACCCAAAACCCTGAACCCTAAACCCTAAACCCTAAACCCTCTTTGGCGTTTCGGGCTTGAGGGCTGTAAGGCTCTGAGCTCCCACTTCGCAAGGCCCCGCCTGCGCTGTC